ATCTTATATTTGATTCAGAAGTTTGCTCGATCTTTTGTTATAAGGTAATTTGGTTATAATATTTATTTTATAGTTATATATGATTATTTGAAAAAAATATTATACTAATTGTTTTCAATTAATTTCTGTGTTTGTAGAATTAGAAAGTGGGAGCATACGTCGAAATATTTTTGCGGTGCAGGTAATTATATAAAATTATATTATTTAAATTATTTACGTTTATGTATAAAAAAATTATTATGTTATATTTTTTGTCATATATTATTTATTTAATCATGTTTGTTTCAGTTGTTTTTTTGCAGATATAATATTGTTGCACTTTTAAACTCTAAGAATGACGCGACTTTCAACTATTGTTTATTATGATGGAGAAATTAGAGAAGATGAACCAGCGTTGTTTTCGTATCAAATGAGCGTGTTAAAATATCATTCAAGAGAAACATAACTCTTGAGAAGCTGATAACGAAGATTTCAAGGAAGGTTCATGTTGGAAGTAGTAGAAGAATGTTGTCGTTACAGTACAGATTTCTAACATCATTGTTGCCATTAATTTATACAGCGTTTGAACTATCGAAAAATGATGATGGCTGATTCTCAAAGTAATTATTTAGACGGCGATATTGAGATGTATGCAAAGTTTGTTCAAGTGTGTGCTGTTCGGGGTCAGCCATTAAGCTCACATTATAGGCTGGCTGAACAAGTTGACAACCTGACTACAGTAATGTGTAATGATTTTAATGCCATAATGGGAAATCCACATCATGGTGCCGGCACAACAACTTCAATGGAGAGACATTCATCCGTAACTCTTTACGATATGTACCGAGGTGGGTTCACGAACAATCCGTATGGCAACATCGCGTCCAGTTCGAGGGGAAGACATTCATCTGCAAATTTCTTTGACCTTAATATGGAGATGCCATCGACGCAACAATCTGTGCAGTTTCCATTTGACACGATGGCTTCAAGCTCCAGGGGGAGGCATTCGACTGCGAGCTTTTTCGATCTCAATCCATATATGCCTTCTAGTTCAAGGGGAAGGCGTGCCAATAGTAGGTTCTTCGACATAAACGTTGAGAGCATGGAGGAACCATCATCTCCACCAGAAGAACCACTTCGTGAGCCTGGTACGGTTGGTGCTGAGACTGGACTATTCATTCACCCATAATAACCGCAATTCAACTCCGATAGTGATGATGATGTAGATGAAGTTCTAGCAAATGTGGCACAAACTGACCCTCCAGCACACACGTATGAAGCTGATTATGATGTAATGTACGGGCCAGAATTTGCGGATATGCCTCATCTCGGTGACTATGGATATTACTCATCAATAAATAATGGTGAGTTATCTTTAGACATGGAGTTTTCAAGCAAGGAAGAAGCGATGATGGCTATAAAAAATTATAATATCCGTAATTCTGTTCAGTCCAAAGTCGACCGTTCCACGACAAAAAAATATGTATGTTATTGTGCCCGACGAGAAAACGGATGCAATTGGATGGTTCGCGTATCGAAGAGGAAGAGGAAAAACAACAGATGAGAACTAACAGTATACAACGGTCCTCACACATGTATTGTTGGAGGGGTCAACCAAGATCATCCCAACTTGGACTGTGAAGTGATATGCCAAGCCATCATGCCCATGGTAAAAGCAAGCTCTCATATAGCTGTTGCAGTGTTGATTTCAGCTATACAATCGTAGTATAGGTACAATGTCTCATATAAAAAAGCTTGGTTGGCAAAACAAAATGCCATTGTCAAACTTCATGGCGAATGGGATTCATCTTAAAACGAACTTCCATGTTGGTTTAGGCTGGTGCAGACGTTGAATCCTAAGACAATTGTGGACTTTGAAACCTCCTATGCATACCATAATGATCGAGTTCTACGCGATCGATGTCAATTCTATCGGGTTTTTCAGACTTACCCACAGTGCGTTAATGTTGTCAAATACTGCAAGCCTATGGTCCAGATAGACGAGACTTTCTTGTATGGAAAATACAAGCAAGTTTTATTATTAGCAGTTATCTAAGATGGCAATCACTACATTCTTCCAGTTGCTTTTGCTCTTGTCGAAGGAGAAGATATAGATTCTTGGGATTTTTTCGTTCGAAACTTACGTGTACATGTTATCACAAGGGAGAAAATCTGTGTCATTTCAGATTGCGGAGCTGCGATAAAAGCAGCAATGGAGTCTTTGTGTCCAATGTGGCAACCACCCTTTGTCCAACATAGGTATTGTCTCTGACACATTGTTGCGAACTACCATGGAAGGTACAAGAAGAATGGTGAGTGTCAATTAATTGTGCGCATGGATAAGTGAAAGCAAGTTAGTAAGTTATACATTTTTTGATCATTTTAATTTTGCAGTTGTTGGGGTCGCGAATGTGTTTCGCAGGGCGGTGGCTGTCGGTCTCGAGGAAGATTTCTTTGTATCACTGGTTATGACTCATCGCTATCATCATCATCACCATCATCGTCGTCGTCGTCCTGAGTAACTACATTTTGTTGATGAGGATCTGATGACGATAAAGCACCTCCATAGAATAAGGACCCTCGAGGTGTATGACTGACTATCCGACCGGCCTGCGCAAACTGGGAAAACTCATAAAACCCATACATCGTTGAGTGTGAAAACTGTACAGGAGGTGTCTGTGCTGCGGCCATGGGTGATGAGGCTGAACCCGCCAAAATGTGAGCATATGAACTCCAAGTCGGATATGCAAAAATAGACCCATAATAGCCTCCAGGAGGGGTCATATAACTCTGTGACGGTGGCGGGGGGGTCATAAAACCAGGTGAAGGCGGCGGTGACAGTATCTGGTAATGGAAAGGCGATGGCAACATCATATATGGTTGCAGTATGTAAGCTGGTGGATACGGTGACTGTTGTGAAGGTCCTGCTGGTGCAGCTAAGGATGAATCGGAAGCACCTGCTCTCCGTCCACGAGTCGGGGGATGATGGTGCTGTGTCGGAGAACATCTCTGTCGACATCGCAGAGAAAGGTCTGTCCTCGTGCATTCTCGGGTTGAAAACAACCAAATTGTCAGAGCACGCGATCAGTGGAGTGCCACTCGACGGTCGCATAACATATCAAAGAGACTATCGCCATCCAAACATCTGATGTGCCCCTCAACTCAGGTGGGATCACCGCCCTCACATCATCAGTAGAATATGACACCAATTCAAACTAAAAGAAATATACATAATTTTTATCAAAATAATAATCTAATTATATAACTATAATCTAAAATCGATTTTTAAACTTTAAAATTCATAAATGTGTGCCAGTCTTCTGATCGATTAACACTCTAATTTTTTCTAAATCATCAGGTAGATCCTGATGATTTTTCCTATCAGTAGACCACTTATTCAAGAAAAATAATTTCTTATTTACTGTATAAAATTATTAATATACAAAATCAGTTTTATAATTACCTCAGAAGTAGTGGAAATACGAATGGGTTCTTGACAACGGGACATAAAAAGGGCAATCAATACCATGCCCAAGACTGCAGCAGCATTAGACATCCGCCGATAGCTTTACGCCTGTAGCCAATGGCTCGACACATCTCCCTGTACAGGCAAGCCAAAACTACTACCGAGCCCCAACTGAGTGATCCGGCCAGATGAAAGTTGGCAAGATGTTGCAATCACATACAGTGAACTTGGTCACGCGATTTGTCCGGCATCAGCAACCCTCCTATCAGATGTAGTATGCATGCCCATGCATACTGTTTAACTTCATCGTCAGACGCGTCCTCGCTCAACTCCCGACACAAAGTTTTTCGGGACACGTCCTAGACTAACCCGACACAAAGTAGTCCAAGAACCGAAGCTATCCTTGATATCACACATCCATCCACCGGAAGCCCCAGGTGCATAGAAACATCTTCAAGCGTGATCGTGCACTCTCTGCATGGAAGATGAAATGTGTGGGTCTCCGGCCTCCACCGCTCTACTAAGACAGAAATAAGGTCTGATTATATCTTACAGTGACCCTAATATCTACCTAGGTGACCGAATCCAACCTCTACTAAATATGACATTACATGAGTAGGTATAACTAACTTAAGATTCCTAATAAAATGATATAATATACGATCTCTCTCCTAAAATATAAATAATTACACAAATTAATTTTTAAACTAATAATCATGCATTAAATAAATAAATAAATTAATTAAATTAAAACGTTAAAATATGACTGTATCAGCAAAGTGTCGATATATATGATTTTCATTCAACCAAAGTAGGTCTCCTTCCATTTTATATCTTCAAAAAAAATTAATTAAATAAAATATTAAACAATTAAAATAATTAAATAAATTACTAAAAAATACTAAATATAATAAAATATACCTTAATAAGAGAATATAAGAGTATTTGAGAGAAGTTGAGAGCATTTAGTGTGATGAAAGTGATAGAGAATGGAGGTATTTATAGGGAGGGATGTGTGTGAACGGGCGGGGGTAGGTTGGTAATTAAGGGTATAATGCGGGGCAGGGGCCGCGCCTTTCTGACGCGTATCAGAATCACAAGTAAGGCTCGGCCCCTGTCCCACGCTATACCTTAATTATCAATCTGTCCCGCGTCATACACACGTATATCTATGTCAGCATAAAGAACGTTACAAGAGGCGCGCCGCAAGAGACGCCAAATCAACGTATAGTGCACTGCAAGAGCACGCCTTACTACAAATAGTATTAGATTAAAAAATATAATATGATCGATATCTAATCAAAATATTAAATTAAAAAGATGATTTTTTTTAAAAAAACGCCTAATTTTATTTAACGTTGAAATTTAAACCTCCAGCTAATTGAAGGATAGAAAGTCAGGGGAACTTTTGCTTTAAGGAAGCAGCAAAACACTCGTAACCAAAGCGTCTTTCTCTTCTCTCTCTTGTTGTTTTTAGGTTTCCAAAGTTCTGTAAATGGGAGCCTTTTGATTCCTGTCACCAGACCAAACTTCCGCTTCTGAACATATATATCTCAATAAGGTATAACTCATGAAAACAAAACCAACAATTCTTGGTGCGTTTTTGGTTCTTCTTCCTGAGCTAAGATACGGGGGGTTTTTGCACTTTTCTTGTTTTAGTAACCTAGATCTGAAACAAGGGTCTTTCACTAGGGTTTCAGCTAAAAATTTCCTCAGCAAGCTTGGCACAAAAATTCAAGAAAACCCACTTTTTTGTTTCCCCATCTTACTTTTAAGTCATTTTATGTTATAGTTGGGGGAGAAATCAGAATCTAATGATTTTTGGGTTTGAACTTTTTTTTTATATTAAGGTATAGAAATGGCGAGGGAGAAGATCAAGATCAAGAAGATCGACAACGTGACGGCAAGGCAAGTGACTTTCTCGAAGAGAAGGCGAGGGCTTTTTAAGAAAGCTGAAGAGCTTTCAGTTCTTTGTGATGCTGAGGTTGCTCTCATTATTTTCTCAGCTACTGGAAAGCTCTTTGAGTTCGCTAGCTCCAGGTATATTCTCCATCACTTTACACTAATATTCTTCTTCCTCCCCTTTTACTTTCTCTCTTCTTTTAGCCATAGATGGAGAGAAAGAGCTAGGGGAGTGCTTGTACTAACTGTGACTGATCCATCCTAAGACTGATCTTTCAAATTAAAATTAACCCTTTGATGGAAACATCATGAAGAAATGAGACATCACGAATACAGATGGATGATCTTTATTTTGTTCTGTTTCCATAGATTATGGAGGCCATTGTAATATGCCCCCCTCTCTCTCTCTCTCCCTCTCCCTCTCCCTCTCCCTCTCCCTCCTCTCTCTCTCTCAACAAAAAAAAAAATCTATACAATGTATTGTTGCTGATGATTTAAGAAAAAAGTTTTGAACGTGTTTGATTTACTTTTTTTCTTAATTAATTTATTAATTAAGTAACTGTTTTAGCTCAGAAACTGTTGGGCAAACTTGGGTTCCTTGCTTTTTTGTCATTCATATATATTCTCCTCGGTTACTGATTCTTAAGATCTTTGGTTTTCCATGGTATATATGTTTTAGATTCTCTATCGGCAAATCTACATACAATTGGCGGGCTGCAAACAAGTTTTTTGAATGCAATTTAACTAGTTTAAAGGGATTTCTATGTAGCTTTTTTTTGCATTACGTTACAGAATATAGTATCGCGTAGTAATATTCAAGTCTTCTAACTTCTAAGTGACGGCTGGTGTGCGTAGGTCAATTCTAGTGTCATAACCTTAGCTTATTGGAAGTAGCATGAATGGCCTTTGTTCTTTAGATGCAATCCAGGAAAAAAACTGAGCACGTTTGTGAACTAGGGTAAATGGTTTGTGCATGTAGAGTTAATATATTAGTAAGGCTGTTAATAAGACATACATATAGCGAGTTATTCGAATTTGATTTTATCAAATTTCGTTCAACAATCGAATTGAATGGACTCGAGCTTGAGTTTGAATTCTCAATGAGCCCAAACGATCTACTTGATAAATGACTCGAAAAGTTTAACTAGCAATTCAAAAAAACAATATCATAAATTTGTAACTTTTTAAATTAAATTATCAATAATATTAACATTTTTATGTTTTTTAAATGTAAGAGGCTGGTTTCATATACTTAAGATTCAAATTCGAGCTCGAGTTTGAGCTTCAATGAGTTAAGTTTGAGAATGTTTCGAGTTTAATTTTTTTCGAGTTCGAGTCGAGCTTCAATTTTTGATTTTGAATTAAAGTCGAGTTGAATTCGGCTTTTATCTTTTCGAGTTGAGGGTTTACGCTAGTTTGCAGACCGACAGTATCAGTACATGTTTAGACATTGCCTCTAGCATCTATGGATCTACTGTATGTTTATCGGCATTTATTGCTAACCGGAGCTCAGAATAATTGTTAGCAGTAGCAACGACAGGCACTCGTACATCCTTTACGTTCCTTGTTTTAATTCATTGAATTGAATTTCATATTTATGATGCTCCCCTATATTCTGGTTGCACTTGAAGAATGCTTTCGTTCAAGTAATATTTCCTTTCTTTTTTTCTTCCTAAAGCATGAAGGATATCTTGGGAAGGTACACTCTGCAGACCAACAAATTGGATCAACCATCTCTTGGCCTTCAGGTAATTTAAGGCAAAATTGTTTGAATATTGTGGTAATGGTAAGATTGTTTGAATGTTGAGGTGGGAAAAATTTATTTGGACTAGGTGTACCCTAGATTATTTCATGATCTAGGGTGATTGTTGTAGTAATAGGAGAATTCAGCAAGATTACATGGTGATTTTAAGAAAATGTGTTGATTGCATGACCAGTTTTGCTCTGCGTCGCCTGCAAGGTTTCTTGCGTTCGAACTGCATCTTTGCCAGCTGGCATACATTGAGAGGTCGACATGCTTTTTCTAAATCGTCGTATAGTCCTAACGAGATCCCGATTATTGTGGCAATCACCATAGATCATGAAATAATTCTTGGTGCACTTTATTCAGGCAACTTTTTTACCACAATATTCAAGTATTTTTCCGGTGATTTAATGAGTCCATGTTACTTGGACCATTCATTTGAACTTAATATATCACATGTTTGAATATAAATTTATAAGCTATGATTCTCTAATTATATAAAAACTTTAAAAAGAGTTCAGCCTTTAAAATCACTTATTTTTTGTTCTTCTTTTCAAAATATAGCTGGAAAACAGTGATGAAATGAGATTGAGCCAGGAAGTTGCTGATAAAACCCTTGAACTAAGGTCAGTGATCAGTAATTTGTTGAGTGGTGTTGAAGGGAATTGCACATGTAAATATTAGTATCTAACATATAAAAACAGGCAGATAAGAGGAGAAGATCTTCAAGGATTGGACATTGATGAATTGCAGCGACTCGAAAAACTGCTAGAATCTGGACTCACACGAGTTCTTGAGACCAAGGTTCGTGCGAGTTCATTTGCAAAGCAAATTCTTGATTTTCTCCACTGTAATGGTATGTTATAAATTCCGATTTTCTCTCCAGGGAGAACGCATTAGGAACGAGATCTCTTCACTTGAAACCAAGGTTTGTACTATATGTTCATGTTATATAAATTTTGACATATTGTGTATATTTTTCTCGGACGAGTATAAAATATAGCCAATTAATATAGGGTTAAAAAACTATATATAAATTTTGACATTATCGATTGTAATCAAAATTATTATCAATTATATAATTTTTTAAGTTGAATATGATAATATTTTAAATTAAATTATGCTGTAAATTAGTGTTAGGTTAGGCTGCCGAACAGTAAAACTACCCATTCTCGTATTTCATGTTTTCATCTTGTTTTTCTTTTACTTTTCATATTTCATGTCGTGTAATAGTATCACGTCTTGCATTGTTGGGTCTATGAAAATAATTCGAAATATTCGTTATCTTTTATCAACTTATTTCCTCTTTGATGATAATGACAGGGAGCAAAGTTGCTGGAAGAGAACAAGCAACTTAAAGACAAAGTAAGCAGTACCAGTTTCCATAGTTGGTAATACATAAACACTTCAAGTTCCAAGCTACCTATAACAATATTGACAAAAAGAAGAATATGTGGGATGTTTTCAGTTGGTATCACTGTGCAAAGGTAAAAGATCCGTCTTAGCAGATTCAGATGTTGCAACAACTCAGGAAGAAGGCATGTCATCGGAGTCTGCCGGCAACATTTATAGTTGCAACAGTGGCCCTCCACCGGAAGATGATAGCTCAGACATTTCACTCAAACTAGGGTAAATTAATCTCCACAACAAATGATTTTGTTTGATCCAGTAGTAAGAAGTTCCATATCGTAAATTCAAATGTAATGAATAGAAAAAATAGAGATTGCCATATTTGTGCTTAGTTCGAGTGTTTTTTTGCAGGCTTCCCTTCTCTTAAGCGGAAACCGATGAGAAGATAAAAGCTGTGGAACCCTTGCAAGAATATATTCTTATGATCATGTGTATTAGGTTTAAAGAAATTATAAAACATATAATATGTAGAAGTTGGAAGATTTATCTTAACTTTAAGCTTGTTCTAGTACGCTATATATTTGGATATATATTGCTACTCGGAAGTAGAAAGAAAACTTGCTCAACTTGTGCCGGCAGTGCACTTTTTTAATTAATTAAGTTGTAACTTCAAAACTTGTACTCTGTGTAGATGTATATGATGTAAAGTAGTCTTAATACGGTTATGGAAAGATTTTATCAAAAATGTTAATATTTTTTAACATTTTAGGTTAAGTGTTATCTAAAATATTATTTTTTTATTAGAAATGTTAATTTTGTTAATTAATTTCCGGTATAACTCAATATTAATATTTTCCGTAGAAAAAATAATGTTTTAGGTAGAGTTTTACTAGAAATATTAAATATTTTAGGTAGTGCATAATATTAACATTTTTGGTAAAAAAAATAATATTTTAGGTAGTGTTTTATCGAAAATGTTAAAAACATATTAATATTTTTGAGAGCGTTTTTTTAATTGTATATTAAGATTATCATACCTGAAACATCCCGTATATGTGGTGTCATAAATTATTTGAATCAGCAACTTGAAGTATTATTAATGAAAGAAAATATTGCAGCAAGACAAATGAAAGGTAGGGCAGCCGCCAACCAAAGTGACTATACTGCTGATGCACAGCAAATCCCCCTCCACTAACAATGAACTGATTTAAAAATTTCAAATTTTATATATTTTTGGTTATCTTTTTATATTTTTTATTAATAATACATTTTTATCACTAAATTTTATAAATTTACCCATTCTGAAAATTTATTGGTTTTCCATAAATAATATCTTATGTCTGTTTTTACTGACTACTATTTTAAGATATGGTGTAATCTGAAACAGAAAATCATTTAGAGTCGGGTGACACCATCTGAATGTTAGACTTACTTGAACGGAGGAACGCCGGTAAGCTCATCGTGGAACGTCAGCAGCAGCAGCTAAGTCTGCAATTAGAGAGGAGAAAATTGAGAATAAAATCATTAACAGATTTTCATTAAGGTGTAATCTGAAACAGAAAATCATTTAGAGTCGGGTGACACCATCTGAATGTTAGACTTACTTGAACGGAGGAACGCCGGTAAGCTCATCGTGGAACGTCAGCAGCAGCAGCTAAGTCTGCAATTAGAGAGGAGAAAATTGAGAATAAAATCATTAACAGATTTTCATTAAGCTCGAAATTACATATGAAAGCCCGTGTCTAGACTTCTTTTAACATTCCCATCTAACAAAATAACTTTCGAATAACAAATTAATAAAGCTTAACAAACAACATAAGTAGTTCAGTTACTTTTTAACACTCTCTTCGCTTCTTTTGTTGTAGACTAAGAACACATAGCTAGCGCCAACAAACTTGACATTTGACTGGAACGTAGTTGATTTGTAATTATTTGGATCTTATTTTTTCTCGAACGAAATGAAAACTCAGAGCAACATATTTGATTTTTACATGTGAAATTGGGTTTGTTGTCACACCATATTTCTGAATATCAACAAGTTGCACTCTCATATTAGCTAAAATCGATGTGATCCACATTACCTTGGGTGCACCCTCAGCCAAACTTGTATAATCTTCTTTGGTTGTAGAGCGAGAGACTTGCCCTTTATTTTTTAAGAACTCAAAGACAACAAATGTTCCCCCATAAAAAAACAATATTCAGAAACTAAACAATGATCATCAAGATATTCCTTTGAGATACTTAAACATTCTTTTGACGGTTGCCCAATGTATTTGAGTCTATTGTTGCATATACTGTACAACCTTATTCAGAGGGAATGGGATGTCAGGTCTAATTGATGTATTGCAACGTCTTAACAGTACTTCTATATTATTTAGCATAAGTAAGATCATTTCCATCAAACTTACTTAATTTTGGAGAAATAACTAATAGTGTGACTACAAAATGCACATCAACTAGATCAACTTTGTTTAGTAATTCATTTATGTACTTACATTGACTTAGCCAAAAAACTAAACTAAACAACCAAAGTATCTCGAAGAAAACTTTCTATTAAGTTGAGAGATTATCTGGGTAACATGAATTGCACTATTATTAATAAGTAAGATATCATCTACATATATCACAAGATACGTGACAATATTTACATTCCCGTAAATAAAGATAAATATTCAAAAATTTAAAATTCAACAAAAACCCTTTTTGTTTTAGCTAACCAATTTCATAGGAGCCATAATGGGGTTTATTTTTAATATGCACCCTTGTGGGGTGCCATCAATCTTCCTTTGTTCAAACCGCTCAGTTGCTGCATATATACCACTTCTTCTGGATTCTTTTTATTTTATTTTATTTGAAAATGTGTTGTTAATATCAATTTGATGAACATGTTATTTCAAATAAGTGCCAATGATAGAAGAACGTTTATGATATATGTCTTAACTATTGGATTTAATGTATTCAACAAAATCATACACAATAACCTAAGAGTACCCCTTAACAACTTTGAAGCGATTAGTCAACCCATCAACATTTTCTTTAACCTTGAGGAACCACTTACATCTTCCTATAGTAAGGTTTTCATAACTAACATCTTCCTATGGTAAGGTTTTCATAACTAAGGGACATAAATGTTGGATTAAAATCTATATTTATGAGCACATATGTATAATATATAACGTTATCATAAAGTATGACACAAAGTTAAGTGACTAATTATGTTACATGTGTCATAAGTAAGTGTTATGAAATTAAAGTGTAGATACCAAAAGTGTCAATTCCCATTTTCATTGTTGGTGGTATCCATGTGTTCATACATGTTAATCAAGAAGTAAATTTAAAACCTCAACAAGATAATATTGAACATCTCTTTATTTAAGATGAGGTAATTATTCTAGAAGAACAAATTCAACAAACACAAATGACAAGTTTCATTAAGAAAATCCACGAGATGAGAGAAATGACGTTTTAGATGATTATGTTGTATTTATCCAAGAAATAATGATGGAAATGAAATAATGGAAGATGATCCAATCAACTTTCAAATGTCATAAAAATTATGACACTCAAACTAGATTGATTCCATGTAAGAAGAGTATAAGTCTATACAAGATAATAAAGTTTAAAAACTTATTAGCTCAAGGTGTAAAATTGATTAATTGTAAATAGATATTTAAAACCTAGATGGATGCAAATGGTAATGTTGAGAGGTATAAAACATGTCTTGTATCTAAAGGTTATACTCATTTAAAGTATTAATTTTGTAGAGACTTTTTATCTAGTTTTATTGAAAGATTCTTTTAGGATAATCATGATACTTGTTTCTCATATTTGATATTGGATTTCAAGTTTCTGTTTTCTCAATGATAACATTGATGAGATATTTTATATGATGCAATCAGAAAATAATGTTTAATGATACAAAATTAGTGATATGTGAATTAAGGAATTTATATATAAGCTTAAGTATGTCTCTCGTTAATTGTATAACAAATATTTTGACTCTTGTTAATTACATAATAACTTTTATCAAGTGATTATCTCATTTGGTTTTGAGATGTGTTTAGTTAACGATTGTATATACTACAAATGTAATGAGAGTAAACCAATTAATACCCTTTATTGCTAAAAGAAAAAAAAAGTTTAATCTTTATTAGTGCCCTAAGAATGATTTTCAAACTAAGAAAATATTAAAGGTTCCTTATGATTAAAAATAAATGAAGAGTTTGATGTATAGTCAAGTTTGTACAAATTTAGACATAGCATAGGATTTTAGGGTATTAAAAAAATATTTAAGTACTTTGGGTATGAATCATTGGATAATAGCCAAATTGATTCATACAATACATTTAAGAACAAAATTATTACATGTATTGCTAATTATGGATTGAATAGAAAGACCACTAAAGTTATTTTGTGATAATAAATTTACATTCATTTGTTCTATTTACAACAGAAACACCTTATCGTCAAGGACATAAAAATTAAATTTCTAATTGTTAAAGAAAATTTAAAGTGGTTATGTGTTTATAAAGTATATTGGTACAAACTCTTCATTGTGCGCTTACTAAGGAACTATCAACCTAGGTCTTTCATGAACACACGGTGACAACCGACTCTTCGGGGGAAGGCCGACTAGTTGCAACGATGGGGTTTTTCGAAATAATTTCGAAATAATTTTTAGAAATGTTGGGAGTCGCCACCAATCATTTTTAAGATGCGATTGAGACACCATAAAAACTGAGTAATTTAATAAAACATTTTATCTATCAAAATACCAAGTTTGGGGGGGATCTGCGAAAATCTAGAAAAAAAACATGTTCGGGAGTCGGTTACACACGGGGAAGGGTTAGCATCCCCCACAATGCCCATAAATTGACACCTAGTTGATTACCCTATGTTTAAAATTAGGAAATTTTGAGTTCGAAATTCATTTAATTTAGAAATCACTATGGGTGCAAAGTTGAAAGAGGATATTCGTTTATTAAGGTCAATAATATTCACCTCCTAGTATGAATGCGAAAGATCAATTATTGTCCCCATGAATGAATATTACCTCGGAAATTGAGAAAGTATGATGCGGTTTTAAAAATATGTTGACCTACTTAGGGAATCACCAGTAGTCATCCCTTAAGTATGATTGCAGGAGATATACTATTAACTCCCTAATAAGTGAACATTGTCTTGTATTTAAAACAAATGCAATCAATCAATCAATCAACCGATTAGGACCTAATTTACACTAGGTGAGTTAATTAAAGTCTTCCCAACCTAGGGTGCCAAATTATGGAAATTAAATAAACTATAGGACTAAACTTGAAAATGAAGTCTCTAAATTTTTAACCAATTATTAAATCGAATAATTGATTTGAGCAATCAGACATGTTACTACGAAAGCCCAAATTGAATAATTAATTAATGAAAAGACTAAGGTGAAATTAAACCTGAAGTGAAGGCTATAATTAATAACCTAATTGATTATGTTAAAATGAATATCTAACTAAAGTCTAAGGACTAAAAGTGTGAAGTCAGGGACTAGATCTAAAGTTAAAGACCCTAACGATAGATTAAATTAAAGAAAATTAAATCTAAAGGATTTGTCCTAAAATTTTATTTAATCAAAAAAAATCTTAAAATAAAGTTAAAAACAATAAAAAATGAAATTACATAATAAGAAAATCCAGATA